TCAGAAAATAAATGATCTTTATTGGTATAACGAATCCGAATTTCATCTTGTTGCCCATTCATTCCCAGACTGTATTCAATAAAATTATTACGTCAGACTGATAACTATTCAACCAAAAATAACATTACGCAATACTATGTAGAAGTTGTTTTTGAGACATGTTGAATGCATAATAAATAGTTTTAACAATATTTGGCGAATATTTTAGCAACTAGTAATTTGTGAACATTTTTACATCTTCTGCTTATGATTGCTTGAGTTATTATTAGTAACAAATTAAAGCTGAATACATTGCATACCTAAAAATAAAATATAATTTTGTATAATTAAATGGTTATTATAAAAAAATAATTTCGAATAACCTACGTTTAAGAAAATTGTTTCGTGATCGATTAAGAATTTTCGTGTACGTGCACTTTTTACACGTCTCTCACGCGAAGGATTAATTAACGTGTAATTTATCGGGCACCCGTCGTTGAGCAAAGTGAACGGCAATGACAACGCACGGCGCTCCAACGAACGAAGGGAAGTTCGCGAGTTTACGTTCATTCATGGCTGTCGGCAACGCACACGTCGTCCAACAAAGCGAGATTATTTATAAAACGAACGAATTCGATCCTGCCGCTTCTCGTAAACAAAGTTATTTTCGAAAGTGACTTCGGGAACCCTGTCGAGAAACACATCGAAGTAAACCCCCCCTTGAAATTCTCCAAGGCTTTTTCAAACTCTCTCGTGTCACTGTTAGAAATTTATTTTCGTAATCACGTGAAAAGAAATGTCGGCCAACGCCTCCTGCGAGCGGTCCCAAGCACCGATCGTTACACCGACAATATTGTAAGTTTCTCTTTCGCGTGAACGTAAATTTTACGATCGTGGCCGTCTTGGTCTTGCACTGTCCCGAGGTTATCTCGTTTTCTTAGCGGCAAATAATTTTAACAGCGATTGTAAATAAAGATATTTAGTATTTTTATCATATTTATATTTAGCTGCGCTTATTTGAATATTTATGAAATGTGGAGGGCAAATGATACACATAACGAAAGAATTTGACGAATTAATATTTGCTAATTTGATCTGTTTAAACAGGAGAAATCACTAATTGAATTTATTTCAATTTCTTTTCTCAGGCTACAGACACATTAAGTTTAATTTAATTACATTTAATTGCATTTTTGTTTAAATTACATATTTAATGCTCCCATTGCTCTTCTATGAAGTATATGACTAACTTATTTATTTTAAATATCTACTTAAATTAATAATAACCCAGATAGTACACGACATTAATAGAACGTATATGAACGTTCTAAGAATGTCAGTAGGCCAAAGAAAGCGAGCGAAGCGAAAGTGGTTATCGATACCGTGTGCGTTTCAAAAATTCAACATTGTTCGCAGAAAAAAGTCATATCTTCAGGAAGTAAACCCAGTCGGAAAGAGGTGCTCGATGCAAAAAGAGTTCGATTGAGACGGCTCTTCAAATGTGACGCGATCGATTTGGAAAATTCTCTTTATGAACTAGGATACGCTTTCATTCCCACGCAACCTTGACCTTTTTTTTGTCGCGTTTCTTTCGGTCCTGCTTACGACCTTGAAGTTTAATCAGTATTAAACGTCTGCACTTTCACCGCTTTCGATTTAAATCGTGTTTGGCGCCGTCTTTCCTAACGTGTTATCAAAAATAGTCATTCGAACGTTTATAAAGAATTTTTCTACGTTCGTAAAGAGATATCGATAAAACATTAAATTACAAACTCATTAGCAAACAGAAATGGGAATAATTTTAATGTAAATGCAATGTCAATAATAATATAAAAATTGAAATTTCTGAATGTGTTTTAATTATTTTATTTTTATTTCAATTAAAAATTTCGTTAATGGAACAATAGTTTTGTTTGGAAGGTTGATTATTATTGTTTCTATAAAATTTTTAATCAAACCATTTCGATTTGTTCAATTCTGAAAGTTTAGTAATTTTAATCTATAGATTTTATATTTACAAAGTTAAAGTTTTTAAAATTTAACTTCTAAAATATGTAAATTTAAAGAATTTTTTTAAGGTTAATTTAAAATTTAATTAATGAATTTTAATTCTTAAGTTAAAATTAATGAGCTGTTAATGTTTTATTAACGCGAAAACTGTTTAACATATGAATGATCAAAACATATGATGACAGCTGTTTACGATATGAAATACTGTATATAGATATGAATTGAAATGATTGATTAGCATCACAGAAAAAGAGCAACAATTACATGCCAATTTTGTTCTATATTTCTTTAATGGAAAAAATATAATTCTATGTATATGTATGTATATAAAAATAGAAATTCATATGATATAATTCTATAGATGTATAAACAAAAATTTATATATTTAATATATTACAGTTATGATTAATTATCATTTAATATTATAATCATAATTTATTACAGTTTAATTTTAGTATTAGACGATTAAGATTACATAATGGAAAATTAAGAAAGCATTGTTTAATAGTATTGGTTTCATATGAATATTGATAAAATGATAAAATTGTCTTTGCGGCACTTTCATTTAGTGGCACAAGATTTTTATTGTCGTTTCTGCTGTATGCAATTCTTCATATCATTCGGCATTCATATCATATGGCATTGAACTGTCTGTATTGATAAAACCAAAATTTGATGCACTTTGTAATTTTAATGATTTTTGAATCTTATCTTCTTGTAACAAAAATGATGAAGTATCTAATTATAAAAAAAAAAGAACAGAAAGATTAAACAGTTTTCTTATGAAAACTTTGCAAGACAATACAATAAGATAACGAAATTATTTACAGCATTTAAATATAAGCAAAATTAATGTAAAACGATAGCCATTGAAATGGTTACAAAATAGCATATCTGTTTGACTTCTGCTATCAGTCTGTCGTCATGTGTCTGTAACCTTTATCGGTACAATGTGAACTTGATACTAATGCAGTTAATGCCAATTTGCTGCAATTTATTTCTCGAATTTATCGCTAAATTTTTAATATTTCAAATATTTTGCTAACTGAATATAGACCTTCTTAATTAATTTTTTCAATTTTTTTGACATTTTACTAGTTCTTATCATATTACAATAAATAATACTATAGCTATACAATGAATTCATATGATTGCGTGATGTTATTTTAAAGATGATTTATTATCTATAGAAAGTACATACATATGATATATACGCATACACGTTACCGTGACATAAATAAAATATATAGATATATCTTACACGTTTTGACGATGAGTGAAAATAAAGTGATTATCCTTGTTCTGTTAGACTTTGGTAAAATACTTCATGCCAAAAGAGAGGTAAAGGACAGAAGGCATATATGAAACGCGTCGAAGGGACGCTATGTGATCCCAGCTCTCTCATATATACATTCACCATAGGCGTACATATTCGAAAAGTATTTCTTTCATCGTCGGTTTTCTCTTACTTGTTTCTTCGTCGTGACAAAATCCGTCGTGTCGAAAGCACACTCGTCAAATTGCGAATTATGCTACGTACTTTTCTATTGGACGGCATATTACGGCACTGTGAGTTTGCTTTTTTTCACGCAATCGGGCTCCGTGTCGGGCTCTTCGTGAGCTTAGGAGTTTTTCTTTCTGGCTTTTTTCATTTTCATGTTTCCGATCGCGAAAATCTTGATTTTTCGTTCACGACGAGTTTTCGTATGTTTTCTTCAGAAAACGAAGTCTTCTCCGCTCGAGATTCGTCCTTAGATCTCTCGCGATACTGCGTTATCATATTCAGAACTTAAAACAATTAATATGACTTCAAAAACATTTCGTATAATATACCCATGCTCGTATAAACATATCGTTCATTTATGTATCGATACGTCCAAATTTTTTAAATAAATGAATGTAATTTAATTCTTGCTTGGAATAGCATAATATGTATAAAATATATTACGCTTGTTTAATAAATGAAGTAAAATAGAAGCTCTCTATATCTTGAAAAAATATCAAATATTTGATTTTGCTTGAACAAAAATTGAACCATGTATTAATATTTAATAGGAAAAAAATGTTTCATATATAATTATATAATATATATATATAATTCTTTCCCGGGATATACATAACATTATAAAATATATCAGAGAATAATTATTGCAATACTTTGCTCTCCATTTGTTTGATTAGATAACAGTTTTTTTTGCAAAATCTATGTTAATTAACGCACAATATACTATGTACGCGCGACACGCATTACATATTTTTACAAAAATAAAAAAGGTACATCCATATTATTCGGGAATATACAAAGATCACTCGTGGAGCTTTTTGTGTGTTTAAATCCACTAAAAATAAAAATTAAATTCTTTTCAATTTAATTGATGACTTTCGCGATTACTATTAATCGCCTATTCATCTAAAAAAAAGACAAAAATATTGAAATGCATTTGCAAAAATTAGAAAATAAACAAACAGATGTATTACAGCAACGCGCCATATAAAATATTCATTCTTTGGATTATAATAATGTTAACATAGTAAATGTAGTTAACAAGAAATATATTACCGAAAATTGTTCTCAGAGTAATTATGTCAATCATTTGTTCACACAGATCGCTTGTCAAGCGCTCCTCCATTAATATTGTGCATTTTGGACACAATGCTAAGAAAAGGTTACAACGGTGCTATCACATATACTGATACGAGAAGGAAACATGTTCGCACACACGGTGCATTGAGTTGCTTTACGTACGAGAGTATATATTCAAGTCTATGAATATCTTGCGCCTGATGATAAACGTATTGTTGAGAAATTGAGGCGTCAGTTTGATTTTCCACTCTTAAACAAATGGAATCCGCTTAAGAACATTATAATGTTCATCATGATTAAATACATCTTGCGGCAAATCATGTTTTGATATCGGGAACTTGAGATATTAGGATGATTCCGTCGTCAATTCTTTTAATAGAAGCCATAATGCTTAGTCGCGATTAAGTAAATCGTGCAATATCTTTAGTTTTAAACGACGTGATGCTGACACTTTTATCTTCTTAATTCAAACTTGAAGTGCACTTTTAAGAATCACTCGCTCGAAAAAGAATGACTCGCTTAATTTACTATCCACTGCAGAACACTGGTATCGGCGCCACCGGTCGATACCAATCGGGAATCATCTTGCAAGAATGAGACGTTTGTTACGTGACTCGAATGGCCACCATAGGAATGGTATAGTGACTGAAAAAAATTTTACAAGATTTTAATATACTCCTTAATGTGCAACATTCGTTGACAATTTCCAAAAGATTTAAAAGTTCAGAATTATATAAAGTAATATAAAATAATTTAAAATAGTTTAAATTACCTTCGGTTGGCATGCTGGATGAGAGAACAATTTGACTTTTCCAAAATCATCACCGGTAGCTAAAAGCTTGTCATCACCACTTCGCGTGCAATTATTCACGTCAGTTCCATCGGCGCCCTCCGGCCAAATGCCTATTGTCTCGAACGATATCACGCAGGTATGAGTTGCCCAATCAACATTCCTTAATATCGAAGATTGTGGAATTTGGCGGCATACACCAGGATTCCCTGAAAATTAGAGAAAGTCATATGTGTCTTACATGATATATTTTATATAATATAATGTTGTATCTTATAAACTTCATGACTTTTTCCTTTATGCAAAAGAAGTCTCATTCGAAGTCCCTAAGACACAAGAGAGCAGAACGGACATGTCAAGTAATTATAATACTTTGCTGATGAGATTTTAATCTTAGTCTCTAAAAAAGTAATTTATTTTTTAAAGCTAAAGGAAACATGGAGAAAATAAATCTTTTCCAAGATTTATGACATAGAGAGGAAACACTGAAAAGATTAAAAAGGTTGAATTCTCTTTGAAAATTTAAATTTTCCATATGAACGAGAATTCACGGGGGACAGAATACGAATATAAAGATTAAAAATTTTGAATTTCTCTTTGAGACGTAATTCTTTAATAACGTAACAAATTAGCATAAAAAAAGAAAATCTTCCTAACGAAAAAGATTTGCTAGTTACGCAATTAAAATGTTCAAAAATTCAAGTAAAGAATTCCGAGAAAATAAACAAAAGAAACTATCACTAAAGAAACTACTAACTTATATCTAAGAAAGTAAATATGGTCATAAATTATAGTATCCTCGAATCGATCAATCCTTGGAAACAGAATAATAATAGAGATTCTTAGAAAATATTACCATTAATATTCAGCTGGTTCTTGAGAGTGAAAGGAATACAAAGAATTGAAAGAACAAAGAAGATACAATCTCAAGGTGCACGTCATATTTTTACAGTCTTTTAGGATCGGTATTTTCCGTTTGCTTCAGTATTCAATAGCAATATACTAACAATGTTTAACCTGTCACGGACATCCTTTCTTGATCCTTTCCTAATAGTCTGCTATTTTTCTTTTTTCTTCTTCTTTTTCTCGATTTGTCGCAAGTTATATAATTAAATATTGTTTATACCTTATTTTATTCTTAAGGCGATTAAATTATTAAAGATAATTTTACTCACAATAGAGTAACTCGTAATCTCCACTGTTGCTGCGCAAATATTGACTGTCCACGGACCAATCCAAATGAGTTATAAAACTGGAATGTCCCTGAAATAAAAAAAAGTCCGTATGTTCACACAATACGTACACTTATTAACAATAAGCTGTTGCAGATCTTGTGTTCTTGTCGCTAGCTATAAAATATTAAATTTAATCAGTGTGTCATATTAAATCAGTGTGTGATAATACAAATTAACAAGACAATTCTATCATCTATCACATTGTAATTACAGTACTTTGCATACTAATTATTGTACTTTGCAAGCAATGTTTAATTGTGCGTGCGAGTGCTAAGAAGTTAAATGGAAATTTAACTACGTAATTATTATGGTATTCTATGATGAGAATAAAGCAAGGTACGTCGCGTTGCGTTTTTAATTGTATGAAAAGTTAAATATTTTAAATAATTTCTCTCTTTTTCTCGTACGAAACACGACGTTCCTTCTACGTTTCCGAGTGACCTAAACACAAGTCTTACTCCGTGCCTTCGAATCCGCTTTGGCTAGAAATGGAAAAGAATTATATTGAGTATGATTAAGCTTAAGAATGTTTAGAGATATTGCTAATAAAACGTATTTCGTTATACTTGTATCATTTAAAACTATTTAAACTACATATTTACAAATAATTTTTTCAGTTTTTACAATTATTTACACTTCTCAGTTATTTCAAATGAATTATCTAAATAATTACTTTTTAATAATTGTATAATATTATACAATATAATATAGAAGACATTACACAATATAATATATTATACAATATGTTACATTTCTATATTACACAATATAATATAGAAGAAAATGGCTTAGATATCTCTTTTAAAAAGTTGAAAATGAATGATAAATATCATTTTTTTTTATTGCTGGTAAAGCAATTACTTTTATCACAAGATTTAGATCCGTACTAATATTTCACTTTGATATAGATGTGTACATTTATTTCTGAAATACTATAGTATGTGTAATGTAAATCATATTCTAAATGTGCGCATCGATAAAAAGGAAGAATACGGACCTTAAACCATTGAATTATTAATGAATGCTATTCGTGATTAATTATTAATTATGTACATATGTGTATTATAGAAGTAAAAATTGCACACACTTAAGTTTGCTATTTACAGCAACGTATAAAAAAGTAATATCAAGTATATTACAATAAAATAAATTTACAATTTTAAAATAAAATTATATAAAAGAATTTTAATCAAATATAATATAACGTAATAACAAAGTTTGTAACATAATATCATAAATATGAAAAATATATTTACAGTTTAAGATATATGTAACATTAAGTTTATAAAGATATAATTCTATTCAGACACACACAACACACACGCACATAAAAGATACAATTTTAGTGTTGTAATAAGATAATATAGTATTAATAACAACTTACCATACATCGTCCGACTCGACTATACTTGGTCGCGTCCTCGTTCACTTGGTAAATATAAATATAATTATCTCTGGAGCCGAGAGCAAGCAAGGAACCATCGGGCGAAAATTGAACGACCTAAAAACCATGAATACGATATAATAAAGTATGAAATAAGATGCAAAAACAATTTTTCGATGTAAATTTCTATGTTATATTGTTTTACGTTACATAGATTTAATTATTTTACTAAATATGATCAAATCATACGACTGAATTAATTTTATAAAATTTGATTTTGATTCATTTTAAAGCTATAATTACATAAGTTAGCATTACGTAAACATACCTGAATAGGTTCGGAACCATCGCTATGATGTGTGTACAATTCTCGCGTCTCGCTATCAATTGCCAACCATTTCCCGGACACACAGCCGACGACTATGATATTACCATCCGGTGAAAAGGTGATACTTTGTGCTTGCTCCTAATCAATACATAAAAGTCGATAAATTTTTATGTTATTTTTTATTTTACATTTAATTTTATAAATAGAAAAGATATTACTGATTTTAATTAAATCCTGTTTTATTTTATCAACCAATAACTTTAGTCATATCTTTAAATATTTCTTTAATATCTAGAAATGGAAATTAATAATGTAAATTAAATATTGCTTTCATACATTTTTCTAATATTTTCTAATAAGAATCAGAAACACATTGCTCATCTTAATTACCTTCTTAATTTCTACGATTTATTTAATTAATTAAAATTTATGTGTTAATCTTTATATTTCTTAAAATGTATTTGCTTTTTTGACAAGATAATAGGAACAGTGTGTTACTAGATAAATAAACATTATATATACCCCAATGTCTTTGCTCCACACGACGGTATGACTTAAACTGTCCCACATCTGCAACAATCTGTCATGTCCCGCGGTGGCAAACTGAGGTAAAGTCGGATGGGCCGCAAGTCCCCAAACTTCTTCAGCGTGACCCAGCATTGCAGGATTGAAACCCATATCATTCTCGCCGACAAGAATGCAGTTTCTTGTTGTGCCAATTAATAACTGAGTCCCCCTTCCTTCCGAGAGTGTTCGAATTCCGCCGAAATGATCCTCGATCTACCGAACAAATTTTATTTAGTATTTCTTTTATAGTATCGAAAAATATATTAATAAAATTGAAAAAACCATGCAAATAAATTTCGCATTAAATTTAAGTTTCTCCGACTTGCCTGGGCTTCTTCTCCCGTCAGATTCAAAGAGGCATCAAAATACAAAATCTTGCCGTCCTTCCCGCCTCCCGTGATAATGTTGCCATTTTTTAGAACACATATAGAAAAAATCGATCCTTCATGGAGATTCTTCACTAGCCTTGAGATTGTGTTAGTACCTAAAAATAAAAAGAAGTAAATAATATTTTTTTTCAAAGTGAATTAATTTAATTATTATAATAAATTTTTTAATTAATGGCGTGAGGCAAAGATAATTTTTTTCTTGTAAAAATTTAACAAAGATTATTACGAGGTATAATTATTGCTAAAGAGACTACCTCGAGCCCAAACGATGATGTGGCCATTGCTGTCGCCAGTGAGGACGTCGCCATTTTGATTGAAGGCGACGCAGGTAACATACCTGGGCTTATCTCTGCTCTCGAAGATGCCCATACGTTTATACAGCATGCCGCCGTTGTCCAGAGACCAAAAAGACACGTGTCCTTTTCCGCAAGAGACGATCTGGTTACGTTCCAGCGGATGCCACTCGGCGCAAACCACCGTGTCGACAGAGCACTGCAATCGGCAGTCATCGGCCGTTAAATGGCCTGTTTCCGGCCGGCATATACGCGAATCATTTACAACATTATAGATATATGTTGCAATATATTTTAATTTGCGTCATTACGCATTTGTCAGATTATCGCCGCATACCTTCGTTTCGGTTACTTTGGTGCCACGATCGCTCTTTTGCCAATCCCAGATCGATATATTGTGATCGGAAGTCTCGTCGATGGCGCACAAATAATTTCCGCCATCGGCCTTGGAGAATGACAAGCAGCAAATCGATCCGTCAAATTCGCCATTTCCGATTACGCTGAGAGTCGTCAGGCTCACGGAGTTCCATATTCTAATGTGTGGCTAAAATCCAAGATACCGTTTATAGTATTTGGTAATTTATTTGTTACATTTGATTAGTATAGTTAGAATGACGTTTTATCTTTTTTTTTATTTATTTTATGTATTTTTGTAACTTTACCATGGCATCCCGACGATCCGTTCCGCACACCTGTCCTGTTGCGACAACCAATTTGTTTGGATGAATAGCTATGCTGTACGAAAAAAATATTAAATTATTACTTAATAAATTAATTGATATTATATATATATATATCTAATATAATTTTTCATTTATTATAATATATTTACATATAAATGGTTAAAGAATATTTTATAAGTTCTAATTTTCTTTTATTTTATGAAGAAATTAAATAAATTCATTTCTGTCCTTTTTTTTCTAAATATTAAAATTTTATTGTATTAAAATTCTGTATTAAATAGGATTATCAAAAATATGAATGGCATGAAAAAAAAAAATATCTAGATTTATATATAATATATATTTGCATCAATGAGTTTAATACATTTATTAAATTATTAACGATTAAATAGCTTTTTTTATTGAATTATTAACGATTAAATAATTATTCATCAGATATTTAATTACTGCGATATTTTTCTTCACAAAAAACTAATATCATATCTTTTTTCCTAACTTCTCACTTACCATTTAACATCGTCTGTATGACCCAGGTAATGTCTCTGGCTGTGTTCTTCCATGTTATACAGAACAACGACTGCCGCGACGAAATATACGATCTCGCCGGTTGGCAGAAGGTGTAAATTGCTACGGCAATCGCGGCCGCGGTAACCGTAGACCCAGTCGAGCTTCAATTTGCTCTGCGGCGGCGTGCTAACTTTGTGAAGGTCGTAGGATTCCATCATGGATGTGGGGACGTAAAGAATGACTGGTCGACCGCGTAGATACATACGGACGGTGCCTTCCTCCTCGTTGTACTGCATGTCTCTAGTGCTATAAAGTAATTGCTCGTTTATGTTTGCTTATTCGTTCTTATCGTTAAATTTATTTTGCGACTGAATCTTACATTTCAAAGACCCAAAACATAAACGAAACTTATTTTTACGACACGAAAAATGCATTCGAACGATTCAATCGATAAATTTTATTCTGTTGGCGATATATTATTTTCTTTATTTCCTACACATTTAAATTTTATTTAAAAAAATTTTTTCAAATTTTTTTTCTTCTTAAAATTCTCTCCCTTATCTTTTTCCCTTATATTCTCAAAATATCATTTGATTAGTACTTATATTTGAAAGAATTTTGTATCCTATAATCGATTAAAACCGATCGATTATAACTGCATTAAATAGAGTTTTTCTTACGTGTTGCAAATCGATAATAACAATGATTTTTTTCACTTCGTATGAACTCCTACAAAAAGCTTTGCCCGACCCTGCTCGTCGACTGACGTACTCTCTGATCGCACTGTTCGCACTATACTGAACGAATTCGCCAGGCTTTCTGTGTTGATGAGGTCTGGTAACCACGACGAATGACTCACGCGAATAATGAGTCGGCTTTATTATTCCACGATCGAAGTAGCATGTGAGCTGTTACGTCAATTTTTATTTTTACTATTTTTATTCTTTCTGATAGCGCGCATTATCGTGGTGCACGAACTATTTTCTCGTCCTGGGTTCGATCAAAGTTTTTAAACTTGTTTTAATCTCATTTACACTATTAAAGACGAGGAGGACTGCTTCAAAGCAACGCGTAAATGACGTACAAACTTCAATCTCTTTATCTCTTATCTCTCTATCTTTCGGATCATAAGACGTGTTTCAACAAAGCTGCACCGATTTCATGATTTATATCCTAACGATAAGGATTCTGATTCTTTAATGTATCCTTGTAGCATGAAATTGTGTATGATAAAAAACGCATGCAATAAATAAATGCCGAGCAAAAGCGAATCAATATGATGGTGAAAACAAGATAGCGGAGAATTGTATGTAGCCTTGACCAAATTCTTCGTGAAACTCGAAATCGGGACCTTCGCTACTTTTGCTTTCGCATTTATTATAACATTCACGAATTTTAATTAATACATTTCAAGTCTGATAAGCCGTATAAGTGTGCAGTTTATAAAAACTAAAATAATTTATTTACAAAAATTTGCACTTAATCATTAAGCACTAAAATCGAAAGTAGGATTATTTCTATTAATTAATTTAATCTCTCATTTAATTTCTCGATTTATAATTGTTTCAGTTAATATTCGAGATTTCTTATAAAAAACTTTTGTACAAGGGAAACTTAAATTATATTTACTAATTAAAGCAATCTTTATATTAAATAATTCTATTTTTACAAGTAAGCATATTTTCCTACATAAAAAATTCCTACATAAAAAAAATATTTTCCTACATAAAAAAAAATGAATACCACACAGAAATGATTACAGATCGTCACGATATCCAGCAAATATTATTATTTACATCGTCTGATCAATAAATTCAAATGAAGTAGTTCACTCATAACAACGAGCAGGCAAGGGTAAAGCACTTCCGACTGCATTTTTGACGTTGAATGATGCGAGAAGGCAACAGGTATGGAAGGAGGACCACGTGGTTAACGGCTCATTTAACGTCCTAGTGCGAAGCGCGCCATTGCGTTACCGAAGAAAGTGAATCGCAATTCCTCTTGCTGTTGCACAACCATGCATACTGTGTTTCCTGGTGTGCACGACGTCATGGTATCACGAGCACGCCGGAAACGTCGGCAAAAAAAACAACGCTGCCTGAAAGCGTCTTCGGATAAACGACTTTTCAGCTATCTTTTTGTTTACAAAAAAGATAGACGATCATAATATCCGATTATAAAATATCTACTTTGCCAAATTAATAACATTTATTTACACGAAATGAATAATGCCTACGCAGATGATACCACTTACTTGTCTTCTATGTGACGTCATGGGATACACTATCTTCTATATTTATACCGTAAGATCATGTTATAGTAGTACTGCACTATCGCACACGATTACTGTTAAATCGCTCTCACAGCGTAAAGTATAAATTGTATAGCTTCATTCTTTCAATTCAATTTATTAGCGCGAGAAGTATCGTAGATGCGATAAGAGACTTCCGCTATGCGTATCAGTTTCAAAACAAATAATCACATAATTTCTATGAGAATGTAATTAAAACATGCGATTAATGTTGGCCGTGGTCTAAATAACGATGCAAAACAATTCCAGGCGTGACATTTAAATCTAAAATGTAGCTTTTACGTCTCGTACAGTATCACATCAGGTATGCACGCCCCTTTGAACTGCACTTCTGCCAAGCTGGAAGTTTCACAGCCTTAAGAAAATCTGTGCATGACATTTGCATGCTAGATCGAAGGTAATGTGTATTGCAATAATTAACGGCGTGCCAATGCGGTGATTATATGTACGTGCTGTGCTACGTGCAAACGCATGCGGCACAATAACTTCCCGTTTAACGGGTATTCATTGCGATACCGATCGACGAATCGGCAAACGGTTAAAAATTAGTACTTATTAACACGAAGCGAATTCTTCTTTGCTATGTTATAAAAATTATAAGTGCAATAAGATTGATTTAGCTTTATATTATTTTCGGAGATTAGTTTATCCTTATATTATCTTTTTACCTGTTTACAAATCGCAATACGTGTGGCATTAATAATGCAAAGCATTATGGGCTTTCTACAATAAGCCATTACCTAAATTTTAAATCTTAAGCCATAAGAAATTAACCAGTCATAATCGATTATTTTCACATTCTACTGCGATTGGTCAATTTCTTACGGCTTAAAACTTTAAAAGTTTAAGTGTGGCTTATTGTAGAATGTTACGATTTTAAGGAAACTTTAATAAAATTTTTAGATAAATTCTACGGCAGGCATCTCTTACAATTTTCTGCGAAATGCCTGTCAAAGAATCGAAGTGTTAAAATTGAAATTAATTAAAAAGTTATCTGAATATTTATTAAATAATTAGCGCTATTTAAAAATTCGCGAAGTCCCTCTTTCAGTATTCCATTGATTATTCACTTGTAAAGAGATAAACAAATTCGATCGGTAATCTACACGAGATTGGGATCAACCGCCTCCACGATCGCATATCCCGCAAATCGTGTGTCATGCAGATATATATCACGGCGATAACCCACAGGAAATTCTACACGTGCGTTTAACGCCCGTGTTTTAAGCGAGGTCTTTACCGTGCGCGCTCACCTGCGGAGGGACGAAATTGCATCGTAAAGACCGTTCGGTGCGCACGTGCATCGGAGAAGCGTGTGCACGTGCGACCTCGCGATCACTGCGCGGCGGGTCGTCTAAACACGGCTACAGAGAAGCCAGATACGGCAGTAAGTTGTGTAAAGTACTCTGGTATATTATTTACCCGTGCTTGACGTTGTTCATCGCCGGTGGCTTGAACAGGTTGAACAGGGACTTGGTGGACGCAGACAATCTATAATGAACGAAAATGCAAACGAAAACCATGCGGTGCAAAACAATACAAACAAGAAAAAAAAAGAAATGGAGAACCGTCTCTAATGCGATCGGCGGGTTTTCCGTTGAAGGTTTGATTGATAAGTCTACAAAGAGATTCTTCGTCGATTCGATGCGCTTCAAGCATAATTTTAGAAGAGAGGATGAGAATAATAAATCTTTTCTTTCTGAATAAATTAGACTCAGATATAATTTTAAAATCTACTTTAGATGAAATTTAATAAGTATTCGTAAAATAGACTTTAAAAATTACAGATTTTTTATTTCATCCTTATACTCGTACACTGAAGTCTATAATTTACTGCTGAATTTCCTATTTCTTGCGATCCATCTGTAAGCTTTGTTTTTATAAGTATTTTCTTTCAAATTGTAGTGGTATGATTAACGAGAAAAAATAACATTCAATTAAGTTTAATGTCCTTGCAGATACAATACAAGAAAAAACATAATAGCGCATAAAAGATGAAGCGATAGTAATTTTCTGACCAATAGAACGCGAGAAACTGTGGTTTCCTGACGGGAAACTTTCTTTTAAGTTGTATAGTACGATTAACCAGAAGAAAAAGTAATATTTAATTAAGTTCTATGTACCTGTGCAGATACAATGTAAGAAAAAACATAATAGCGCATAAAAGACGAAGCAATAGTAATTTTCTGACCAATAGAACGCGAAAGACGGCGTCTTCTTGACGCGAAAACGCGCTCGATCGCTTATGAGAGAGGATGCAAGAAAAACGGTGGCGGTGATAACAAAAAGTTAAACTCGTGTGATCAGTGAAATGTGAACAAAATCACAAATAGCAGACAAACGGTGCGTTTTACTGTTATGTTATTAGCTGGGAGCTAACCTGGTACCGACGAGTTGGGAATTGCTTCCCTGGTTTTGCGGAGAATGTGTAAAATCGCCGGTGGACGACCATCTCTTCGCTCTTCTTAGGCTACTTTGTGGCGGTCCGTTTGATCTTGCCGTGGGCGATCTAAGACATCGAATTCAATTCTCGTACAACAGCATCATGCATATATACACGCATCGCATAGCGTCGTAATGACGCTCTAAGAACATTGAAATATATCACTACTAATTAAACAGCGAGCGTTCATTAACGTGGCGATAACACTAAAGAGAGAACATACATGCGCAATCTATTAGAATCATACACGCAACAATTAACAATGCAACGAGAATAATCTGTGTTTTTGCAATTGAGACGAAAAATCGATTTAGTTGAATTAAAAAGTACATACATATTTAAAACTAATATTTATAATTTCCATAGTTCGGGTTTCTATTTTGCGGCATAAATTGCAACAATATTTCACATCAAATTATAGTTTCCTACCTGGCTACAGGCAGTGGCGTAGCTCTAGGGCTTGGCGATGGCACCGGAGAAACACTACTACTACTCGGACTATCAGAATGTAAAGAGCCCGTTGACTGATAGTGGACAGATCTCCTAAAACAAAAAGTAATTAACTAAAACAAAGAAGCACGAATTATTTAAAAGTCTAGTTCTAGAATATGAAACAAAGTCAAATAAGGAGAGAAAACACGAATGCAACTAGAAGAATATTCAACATTTGGACACTCTGTATAAAATCTTTACATTAAAATTATATGAAATCTTTATTTATATATAAAGAATAATTTTGCTGAAGTATTTAAAAAAATTGGATACAGATCTAAAAATAATTTTACTGAATTAAAATAATTACGTAGGAGTCTCAATAATGAGCAATGCTATAAAAAGTTTTGACATTCTAGCAACCAGTTTGAGCGTCCTACATAATTATTTTGATGATCAAACAAAATTCAGGTCTGTATCTAGCTAAATTTTTAGATACTTCAGCAAACTGTCCTGAAGCAGCTGCCCTTCTTTTGTTTGCCAACCTAAGAAACTAGCCGTTCGTTTTAGATTTCTCTTTGTTAATATTAAATACACAATTTACATTGTTAGTTTTCATAAATCTTTACCTTTGAGGAAGTTGGGAGGGATGCACATAGCTGGCAGGCCGTCTCGGACTGGACGTCGCATCACGGACGTCCTGCGACGATCCCGAAGAAGAGGAATTTCTGAGGCCACCGGTCTGGCGCAGCCTCAAGTCCTTCTGTGGCACCGAATTTTGACCTGAAAATAACTTTTTCTCTTATTCGAAATATTTTAAACAAACGAAAAAAATATTCTGTATCGGATATTAATCTACTTTAATACTAGAACTGTCGATAACATCCCGTTAGAACGTTAAAAATGCCAAATTGGTAATTGCCTATCTTTGTTTCTCTTTAAAACTTTTAGATTGAAAATTGAGCCACTCTTTTTTTAGATTGGCTCAATTTTCACTCTTTAGAGTAAGATTCCACTTCAAAGAATTTAGAGAGTTCGGGTAGTGAAAAGTTATTTTAATATTATTTGCATTGTTAGAATTATTTATATTGTATTCACATATTTTTAATATTTTTTAGTGTATTTAATATAAAAAAGAAAAATCAAAAACTTTAATCGAGCTCTCGAAATTAAAATACAATGATATAATATTCGGACAATGAGAGCGTTAACACAGCGCGGTAATTGGTGCGCAATTTATAAATAGTCTAATAATTATTCACATAATATACATATTAAAATTGTACATTGACTGTCGATACTAACTTATTTGTACGTTTCGGTTTTTTTCAAACCATCTTCAGCAAGTTAATAATATAAAGTTAAAAAACGTAAGTAATTTGACGCATTTTTTCAGCCAGCGTGATAAAATAAAAAAATTTAATCGGACTCTCGAAATTAAAATACAATGATATAAAAAAGAGAAAATTGAAAATGATTAGCGAATCTAAAAAGACATCGATTGTTCTAGTGTTAAATACAACATTTCAATTGCAACAAGGTACTACTTTTTGCGTTAAACTTTGGATATTGCATAAATAACACGCGATGTAGCTACGAAATGTATAAGCTGCGTGATTAGGTTTCAATAGCGGTATAACGGTACGCGATATTTATAACGCCTTCCGCGATGTATTACATCTTTCCTATGTTCATCAATTGCTAAGAGCTAAGCTAAGGATGCTCTTGGCGCAATAATTTATGCACGTCAGCGCGATTCTCGTTTCCATTTCCTGCAATTTGTCTGACAGGAGCCAAAGGAATATTCGCATACTTTCAATCACGGGAACATAAAGAAAACAATTAGAAAATTATTCGCGTTCACAAGCTGGCATCTCGATTGCGCGAGAGAATTAACGAGCGTGAGACAAGGGTGTTTCCATTTTTGTTTTAATTACGTTACTTTCTCCGTAAAATAATTATGGCAATGAAATTAGATTTAAAAAGTAAAGATTAATATGTACGTATACATAACAAAATATAATACATAAAAAGAGAAATCGACATTTCTACACGGAAAGCTTTGGTAAAGTATTTAAAAATTTAATCAAGTACAGATCTGAAAATAATTTTATTAGACGCTATCAAAATAATTATGTAAAATGCTCAAGATGATTGATAGAATGTCAAGATTTTTAGTAACATTGTTCATTATGCTTGAGTTTTCTACATAATTATTTTTATGCTTCAACAAAATTATTTTCAATTCTAACTAAATTTTTTAAATACATCAACAAAATCGTTTTTTCCACAGAAATATAATTTAATAATAGTTAAAATTAATGAAGGATCATTATTCTTAACATGCATTTTACAATGTCTAAATGTACGACAGCATGTTATATGACTTTTCCCTTCATTCTGTCAGCGCATTCCAGTATTCGATCACTCCCGAATTCTCGTGCAGAATGAAGAATTCTCTCTCAAGGTCTGCACGAATGCTGAAGACTGACGAACAATTACGTGAATCCATTCACGTTCGTGAGTGGGTTTCTCGATTGCAGTTGGGCGAACTGAACGTGACCTTAAAGCCGTCGCGTGCCAACAGGTACAACACCCGGCTCGAGCTTCATTTCCAGACGTTCGAACACTCGCGATCTCGCGAGGCTTCCTCGCATCCGCAATTTCGTAACGTACGAAACTCTAGACTACTCTAGAGGTATCCGCGCACGAGTTCGCCGGAAATGCACGCCTGACTTAGGTTGCATGTCGTGCATGATCGCCACTCGCACTTACGTCGACGTATTAATTTGCGCCTTGCAATACTGCGATGAATTCTTGCCGCTATTTTACGATGTGATATTACGTGTCAGGATAAAACGTATATTTTCGCTGTAGATATATGTGCAATCAATGCTTCAAGTGGGAGAAGAAACATGTTCCGTAAAAACATGTTGTCATTTGCATTCTGATAGTAAAATAGCAGGGGACGAATTTTAATTGTAAGATATAAAGAAGGACGAAAACTTCCAATTATATGCTAAGAATTATATTTCATTATTAAAAATAATGATTTGAGTCAATCAAAAAAATAAAAAATAGCTTACTTATATTAGTAATCATTAAAGTTTTAACATATAATAATATTTTTAACATATAATAATATTTTTAACATATAATAATATTTTGTGTGTAAGTGCAATTTTATTCATATTCTGACTTTTGACAGAAACTGGCAATTAACGACAACAATAACGACATGTATGAGTAATCGTATTAAATTTGTCAATATTGATATATAGATGATTTTCATTATTGTACGATTACATTATAATGCAATGATGAAATAACTGAACAATTGAAATATTCAATAGCGATTATCAGGAGAAATAGGGTATGCATTTGCGGCTTGATTACCAGCGAAGGTGCGGCAAATCCAATGATTGTTTACATCACAGGTCTCACATCGATCAATCGAATCAGTTTTCCTTTCGTTATCACAAATGAAAAGATATGATCTTAGTCGTGTCAGTCAATTATCGATCCAGGTTTATTATCGTGAAATTTGAACTGTGCGTGATCATTGAGAAATTAACAATTGACTTTTTTCGTATTAATTTTATTATGCTTCCATTGTATATCGTAAATGGAAAATTTATAACAATTGCTTTTTTTAACAAAATTATAACAGAAAAAAATATAAAATAATCGAGAGATACACTGAAAAAAAGATTGGCTGCACTAATTTGCTGCAGCAGCCAATCTTTTTTTTCAGTGTATAGAATTCATTCTATACACAACAAATAAACAATTTAATATGTAACTGCACAAAAATTAAAAATCGACAATATTGTGTTGTTTAGAAATGTAATTATTTAACAATCTCTATTAATTAATATTTGCTATCAATTTATTATTGCTTTGCTCCGGTAATACTTTATGCATGGAGAATAATATTTCAAATTATGAAACATTTAGGCATTGGTCGTTAGCCGGCTTCCATGATCAACGTGCAATTTTGCCAACTTACTTCTGAGAGGTACATGGCCGTTCCTTAAAGGCGAGGACACCATCCTCTCGTTTCTCCTTTCGTTCCTGTCATCCTCCCGCTTTTCTCTTGCCTCGAGCTGGGCGATTCGCCTTAACGCGTCCGCCAAAGTGGCGCGAAGACAAACTATCTCGTCTCTCTGCGCCAAAGATTGCCTTTCGAGATCCGCCACTCTGCCTAAAAGGGACCCGGTCTCACACTCCAGCATCTCATCTGAGAACGTAAAAAGAAATTCCGTTTAGAGATACCCGTTACTTGACTCTACTTGAATTTCGTCTTTTGATCTCTGATCTTCTTTCACTTTTTATCAGAATTTCTCAGAATTTATTTTTATTGGTAAAATTAAAGATACGATTCTATGTTACATAGAACAAAGATTTAATAAGAATAATATTTATATTGAATATATTTATACAAGTACAAATTTGTATTAATAATAAAACAAAGTTTTATAGAGTGACAGGAAATTAAATGGGACTTAATAATCTTGAAAATAAAACTAACATAACACTTGTTAATAATACATTAAAACATTACTGCATAACACAATATATAATTTTTATACGGATATATACTTATACATTCTTTATATACATTTATTTTTTTGTAATATCAATAACAGAAATATTAAAAATTATGATATTGTTGTAAAGTATGACACATATCTTTCTCTTATTATAGCATTACTATTTATTGAGTAGTAAATATGACGTCACTAAATTCACTTTAATATCATTCTTATCAATTGTATGATAGACACACCAACCAAACCCTGCGTGATAACATCTCTACCTTACAATGCCATATATATATCGGCTAGATCTAAATATTATGACGTTTTGATACAGTTCAGCTGACAACTAAAATGCACGCGATGTATTTGATTATCCAACGTGTCAAAAAAATATTCATTTACGAACTTCTTTATACAGAAATAGCTCGAACTAGGTCACGGTTTTCTACGCGTTGTCAAGATAAAAACTGAACTCTTTCCTCAGTGTCGAGCGAACCTCATGATATCGACTCATGAATTGTGCATGCGTGTGCCGAGCATTTAATTTTACATGCCTATCGGCCGAATCTTTCGTATTGCATATCCGCGAACAATAAGAGTAACAAGAAGAAACGCTGTCGCACGATTTACCGCCGCATCGTCTCGCCGGGCATTTACAATTCATAGAATATATTAAACGAAAATCAGCATTTGAATTCCGATAAATCATCATTTTGCATTGTTAGATTATCTAACAAAACAACATTATCATTACATTACAATAAATGCAAATCAGTCTGTCGAAACGGTTTACAGTTGAATCGTTTCCATAAAGAGAAAAATTCCGCTAGAGAATTTAAAGTAGCATTGTAGCTAAATTTTATTAAAATAATCTTTAAATATCTTTTACTGCCGCATTAACAATGTCCCAAAAACCTTATTTTTACAGCATTTTTTAAAGCATTTTGAAAGCTAAGAGAAATGTGTAGAATTTATATCAATACACATATTATATCAACAAACTGAATTCCTATTAAAAATATTCGTCTGAGAATGTGTCACAAGGTCGTGTACGATTTTTCACGACTCGACGAGGTGGCATCTAAAAAAATGTCAACGAATTATTTTTATACTCACGCCACGCTTGTTCCGCTTCGTCGATGGTATCCATCGTGTCCGGCGTGGACATTGCGATTAATTCTCGCGATGACCCCGGAGTATTAATACGTTATTCAATTGAACTGATTAACAAGCGCAAACAGAGCCAACGTACTCTCCAACATATCTTACGCCGCACTTGTAGCAATTCTTCATCGATACTAATATCCAAAGTTCACTTAGAGCAATTTTCTAATTTTTTTTCTCTTTTGACAAGTCAGCTTGTTCGCTCGGGACTAAAGTAACTAACTGTACTGGCATATCTGTCAATAAACATAAAGTCAAAATAGGATTTACAAAAAAGTTGGAATCATGTGATACAAGGACAAGAGAAACGAGGCGATGAGAAGAATGTCTTTCGCATCTAAACGCATGAGGCACACGTTAATTGTGATGAAGTTTGGTCACGGAAGTTCTACGACGTTAATAATCACTTTCAAACAAAGGTGAAACGTCCTGTCTCCGTAAAATTAATTATTGGATAATTTTACCTCATTATTTTTTTGCGTTATCTATAATTTCAATAGAATATAAAAACTATGAATTATATTTGAATATGCAATTTTTTATATTCTTACTCAGGAAACACTTCAAGGTTAAAAATTACAAAATTAATCTACTAAATTTATATCTTATTTGAAGAAAATTGATGCAATTCGTAGAAAATTATTTATGATAGACTTTTTACAAACGTTGCACAATGAAAAACAATTTCATCACAAACGTCACTCATTGTCAGTAATTTGAGTACAATTAGTGTCTCGCAATTAGCACATGAAAGAGTTATTGAATTAGCACACTTCTTTCGTAAATTTAATACAGATAAAAAAAAGGAAGAGATTATTCGTAATACAGGGCGAAACGAACGTTAAGCGGAATGTTATTTCCTACCGCCGATATTGTCGAAACTGAAACGCGATCGCGAATGGTGAGAATTCGAATGCCAAGCTGTGTCACGTGGACTTGGTAAGCAGACGTTACCCAGTGACGTTCTTCAAGTCAGATGCCACATTGGCCATTAACGGTTCATATGTTAAACAGTCGTGTTTTAAAAGTAAAATAAAAATTGACATTCACATGTATGATCTTATGTAAATGTATTTATGCCGCGTTTCTCTGACATCTATAAATATGCATTTACAAGCATGTGAACGTACGTTGTCGCGGAACTGTCGCGTTTCCTGTCGACTGAGAATTCTTTGATCAGTTTGGATTTGAAGATAATCAATCCTAAATTAAACAAATTAAATTGTGATTTGCAATAAACGCGAGGAACGAATAATTTACTGTACACAAAAAAAATAATTTTGCTGAAGTATCTAAAAATTTAAATACACTGAGAAAAGAATGTACTAAATTTTAATAAATATTTGTTTAACTAATACTTGCTTTACTGAATGTAAATACATATTTATTTAGTATAAGAACCATTAATTTGTGTTATTTAACTATTTTTTATTTACTATCTCTATTTAATTAAATTTATTTTTGGTGTAAGTAAATGTTAAGTACTATTCAAACAAATATTTATTTTTAACACATTTTTCTTTCAGTGTACAGATCTGAAAATAATTTTAGACTATGAAAATAATTATGTAGGATGCTCAAGCATAATGATCAATATTGCAAAGTTTTGACATTTTATAGCTTGAATGTCTTTAACTCTATCATTTTGATAATCTAACAAAATTATTTTCAGATCTATAGCTAAATTTTTAAATGTATCAGCAAAATCATTCTTTCCGTGTAATAACGAATGATGTGTTGCAAGTATATGACTTTTGCCCTCCGATGTAATGATAATAGCGGTGAAGAAATGTTTAAAAGCAAATCGTGCGTAACGACCCAAAGCACGTTTCACGAAACGCGTGATATTTGTGAGAATATAGTCGAAGTTACATAAACGCGCGCGTATCGTAACTTCCTCGCGCGTTTCGTAGAGAGCCCGAGGAAAGGAAACATGGAATTTCTGCTCCTCCCTTCCTCCCGCGTCAGTGCTTTCCCCACTAGTAGATGCGATAACCACTCGACGAGATGAACGATAATCGACCGTAGGCTCTTTACCCTCGCACTTGCACGACTACCTCTTTGTGTCTCGTATCTCCAACGCTTTTCAGAAAAAGCGCCTATGATCGATAGGGTACTAACGCGGAAGCGACTCTTTTTTTTCCTTATGGTCAGGGATATAGCATCGATGAAAATTTCTATTAGGGTAAATATTCTCGACACAAAGCACGAAAATTGGATTGTTTGCAGAACGGAGTTTCCTCCTATTTGCGATTAAGGTACAATTTCATCGAAATTTATTATAATTTTATGCACTGAACTAATGTGCACACGTGTGCTGTAATATTTTTACTTAATTGGTTCCGAATATAAATATGTATCAGGAAATACATTTTGTGGGTGGTGACAACTGTGGGTACTGATAAAATTATTCATGCTTGTAATATCACTCCGCTTACCAATAATTTCTCGAACAACGATCACAGGATTTACACAAAAATTTAATAATATCTTGCAAATTATGCAACGCGATATCACGTACGGTAAACATGAGTACGAAGACTAGCTTCGCGCTAAACGAACGGAATAAACTCAATGTAATTGACACATCGATATATCCAACAATTTCCAGAAACAACAAAACGTGCTACGGCACCAAAGCCATTTCCACAGCGAGTGACACAACGGAATCAACCCTATCACCATGAAAACTTTTCACTTTGCACACAATCGGGAAAAGCGTAAAAGGGATAAAACGAGCGTGACTGGTTTAGTCAAGCAAGATTTTTATTTCCACACACGTTCCACAGTAAAAACAATTGATCAGATCGAGCGGGATTCATCGAATCTTCTAACGGCGGGAATTTCCGCAACACGTTTCGCGAACGATGGAAGCGCTGCGTCGGGAAACGACGCTTCCGTGTCGGGGAAACGAAAATCGGAAGTCATCCGTGAGATCCGCACGACCGGTGTGACTACACGATTTCAAATTTCAACGACCTCGTCCGCTCCTCGTGAGGGACGCCAAGTTTGACTCCATCGTGCTGCTGCTCGTGTAACACGTGTGTTTTCCGTGCGGCCGCCCCAACGTTACTGTCAGACCGACTCCAGCTGCTTAGGCCGCGATCAATACGGTCTAGATAGTCGAGATGATTCAGATGACGGCGGGCCACGCCACGCTATGCCATTGACTGTGGATAGAACGTACGTAGCGAGATTTGCACCGGTGATAAACGGTAAGTTGGTTTACCAGGAATAAAAACTTAAATTAATTGTCGTTTAATTGTAAAATGCCAATTAGGATATCAGATTTTTAGCAGATTTATAAAAGAATTTAGAATATCCAAACTCCTATTTTCTTTGTGATTATATCTCCTGATTCTTATTTATTAAGAGACTCATCTAGATTATGACAGAAATTTTTAATAAATTTTTAGAGCATAATTTCCAATTTAACTATTTCTAAAGGAATGAATTTTTTAACGTCTTAATGTTGCCTTCGGTTTTCTTCTTAAGCAAAGTAAATTTCAAATTGTTTTATTTTTCTATTTTAATTATGTCCGATATATATTTCAAAAATTTTCATTTATTAATTAAAAATTCACTTATATCGTTTAATTAAAAATCATTCATTTAATTATATTATATTTACATGGAAAAAAAGATATAGTTCATATAACTAAAAATATTTAGTTGTGAGCAATATAGAAACATCATTCTAGTTATCTTTATATGATAGGAATGTGTATGGTTAATACGATTTTTTTCAGTTTATTTACTTTGATGTGTCAACTATATCAATGTAGTTAAGCGCGATCTGGTTGTGATAACCAAAACTTGGGGGATTATTTACCCAGAGACAGCACACAATATTTAATTTTGTTTTAATATTTAATATTTACAAATATTTATAAGATTTATAAATATTTATAAGATTTATAAATATTTATAAGATTTATTTTAAATATTTTGTAAACATATTATTTTTGTGATCTCTTAGATTGCACAGATCATAAACATTTATATTAAATATTATATGAAATATTTATTGTAAATGTTATAGTAAATGCTGTGAAGATACTTAATGAGACATTATATATGAGTCTATATATTTTTGAATAATATTTCGAATAAAGCTTTATATAAAATATGTGTGTGTGTGTATGAAATATCTATATAACATTTCACAAAATGAATATTAATAAACATTTATCATAAATATTCTGTGCTGTTTGGATTATATATCCGTATAATTGCGTCGATCGTAACTTTACAAAGCATGATGTAATAAGAATTAAATTATTAATAAGAATCAATTTCTTATTACATCATGCTATAAATTAAGTTACAATTTCAAAAAGCAAAAGGGACTCACCACGCTTACAATTAAAAATATGTATGTGAAATGCCTTCATTGCTACAACATAACCTAACTTAACCATTGTTCAAGCAACCACATAAATAGTTGCTCCATATTTTACTATTTAATCTGGTTGGCATCCCCAGATTTCTGTGTAGACCAATCATACTGTTTTTTCCGTGTATTTTATACTCATATTAATTAGTATTTATGTTTCTTAATTATTTCAAACTTCTCTTTTACTGATTGATTTACAGGAGACATTATTTGCTAATATTAACAACATCAGACAATTTCGTGAACGAATTATCTTCGAATTTTTGATGTGTACAATTTTTCTTTCGCGATCATCCTAAATAAACGATGATTGCATCCTGTCTAACGGCGCACCCTCGCAATTCTTCGAAATGGGTTCTATCTTATATTGCCCATCATGGCCATCACATCAAACTAACACATTTAAAAACTTCTTCTTTTAAGCAAGAAATAGTGAGATTATGCACTTAGAAAAAAAATATGGTATGATTGTTAATAATTGGTATTGTGACGACCGCATTTTATTAATGAACACACTATAAACACAACATTAGTATTAAGAAGGCATAGAATATAAATGATATTTTGTAGTTGCGAATTGTATGCTACAAGATCATGTAAGCAAGGCTGCAAGTACAACGAATAGTACAGAAAACGACTCGTTCGCTCGCGAATAATCATTGCTTAAGCATATAATAAGACATTGATGAAAGAAAATAAAAGGCAGATGGCTACGTAATAAAGAGAATACTGGAAATCACAGATGGCTACGTAATAAAGAGAATACTGGAGATTGAGGCGCTTTATTGACTATCCAACTTCCATATAATCGAGCACGAGTGTTCAGCTGATCATTCCTATACATATCTCGCTTACCACGTAAGGCCTGATTAAGGCTTGATTAAGGCAACGATAAAGAGGCAGTGAGGAACGAGCACTGATTGACTTCCGTTTGTATATCTCTTGTTTCTAGATATTTTGTATTAAAACTCACGGTGTTGCTTCGGGATCGGCAGCAGTGCAGGTCCAGTGTAATCAGGAAGATCTTTATTAAGCGGAAGCACATGCAGTTACTAGCAGACCCCGTACAATCGAAGAGGAAGACGACGCTCGCTCACAAGAGTGAGCAATGCGAATTCTGTGGCGGCAATTTCATCTGTGAACAGGCTTTTAATTTGCACTTAAAGATGCACGAGTCCCATTCGGAAGAAAAAGTGCAGCCGCAACAGGACAAGCAATTGGTCTGCGAGAATTGTGACTGTAGCTTCATAACGATGCCGGAGTTGCATGAGCATCAGAAGGAACACGTTGCCGAGAACTATTTTAGCTACGACAACTGCGACTACGTGTCCTCCCACAAAGAGAACTTAATCACCCATCAGAAGTGTTATAATGTGTCTAATTACAAGTATCAGTGCGAGGAATGTGGCGAACAATTCCAGAGCAAGTGCAACTGCCAGATACATCTGTTTCACTCACATACGAGTAAAAAGTAGTTTCAGTGCGACGTGTACCACATTTCGTTACCGCCAAGGTCTACGATTGCACTCGAAGCTACATCAACCGAACTATGTACAGCCACAAAGGAAACACCTCTGCAAGCTATGTAACAAGTGTTTCTCTAGGAGACGAGTGTTGCTGATGCACATAAAGACCCACGACAACGTGGGACCGCAAAACAAGTACATGTGCACAATATGCAGCAAGTCTGTAGCAAGTAAAGCTTATCTCACAGTGCATCAGCGCAAGCACACCGACGAGAAGCCTTATGTTTGCAACGTTGTGGCAAAAGCTTTGTCTCGCAAAACTAGCTAAGCGTGCATCGTCGCACACATATGGGCGAGAAAAGGCATCAGTGCACTCATTGCAAAAAAAGGTTTACTCAATACGGACTACGTTGATAGTACATCTACGAAGTCACACAAGGGATCGACCTTATCTTTGCACGTACTGTTACAAATCGTTTGCTTAAAAAATGTTGCTGAACTCGCACTTGAAAATGCACACGAAACGCTCGACAGCAACAGAAACAGCAGAAAAACAGCAACAACAGCAGCAAGAAAGTTCGTAACAAGAAGAGGAATCATTGCCGTACGAAACGGTCATTATAATGTTGTAGTTAGGACAGTGATTGCTTAGATTATATACTTTTTTTTTTATGTAATCAAGCCTTGTTTATTTCTTTTATGTTTCATTAGCGTAGGTGATATTAGCAGAAGGTGCAAAGAATAGACATAAATAATTGTCAAGTACATCGCAATCTACACAAATGATGAGCATTTTAATTCTATAAAATAACTGGTGGACGTATATTGTAAGATACAAATTTGTTTTAGTATTGATCGATTAAAATGTAAACAAATATTTATCGAATCAGGGTCTCTTCTAAACGGAATCAGTATATATCAGTACTAAAAGTTGTAAAAAATATAGTAGCGTAGGTGTACTTAGTACTGTATTTTTAAAATGATACCTTACTGAAAGATATTATTAGTGTTTACGACCTGAAAAATCCTCGAAAACCTGCAATTTTCAAGGAATTTCTGTTTCATTCTTGAAAATTAGAGATTTTCATGGAATTTTACCAGGAATCAAGGAAATTTTTGAAATTTTATTGTTAAATTCTATCTTTTTTTGGAAATATTTCGTTGATTATTTTTTCTTAATAATGCAAAATATTGAGAATCAGTTAGCAATAAGCATGCACATCCGCGTATATTTACGTACATTCTCTTTTCGTGAATTTTTGTTTAAAAAATCAGAGTAACAGTAGAAAACAATACTTATTGTCAGCAGAATATAATAGTTTACTAATATTGAATTGTAATGCGCCTTCCTTGTACTATTCTATAGATATCTAAAAAATGATTGTAAAAATGATAGGTCAAAACTATCTATTATAGAATTCCTATTTTCTAACTTTCAATATATGCCTTATTTATGTTGCTTGCACTTAAATTTCGTTCCTATATTTTAAAGTTGCATTAGAAAATTCTTTAATCTTGAAATTTTTTTAAATTACTTGAAAATTACTTTGAAAATTACCGAAAAAGAAGTCAATATGTTTAAAACTTAATTAATTTTTAAGAAATAAATTCTATGGATATAGATTCTGTAGAATATCTATATTAAATGAATATCTATATTAAAATAAATGAACTACTTGTTGATTCTCATTGTCAGTGAAGTCCTATATTACTCTATTTTAATCATCGATAAAATTTTTATTGATTCAGTTTAAGAAGAAGAAAAAACGCGCGTTTTTTTTTTTAAAAACGTTACATCATCCCTAGGCATGATGCTCGCTAATAAATCAACGCGATATATCGCTGGGTGAGGCCCGGGCCATTGTTATAAAATTGCACTACTTTCGGAAAGAATTGATAAATGAAAGGCGGAAACAAGGGGAGCGAATCGATTTCCATATCGCGTGACTTTACAATTGTAGCGATTAAAAGTATCGAAACAGGGGTGCAACTATCACAGCCAATATTTTTTATTATTATTATAAAAGCTGATACATGCTGCATGAGTTATTTAACTACTAATTCATATTAAAAACGTTCTTCGACGAGAATTCTGGCGAAGAGATTGAAACACTGTAACATGAAGCGACGACGCAAATTTATTCGCTTCTAGGATTACTCTGAAACTTTCGGAATAATAAATTACGTCGAAGACAATGCGATCTTAATTACATCGTGTTGCACACTAGCATTCTAATTGTTTCTCTCTCTCTCTCTCTCTCTCTCTCTCTCTCTCT